GTATATAAAGGAAACTTGTTTTTATCCAAAAAAGCCGAGTTCAAAGCGGGGCCACTGTTTAGGAAAGAAGAACTGATTAGAAGCTAAAGAAGGAGGCGGCGAAGAATGTTAGAGGCAGTGTTCCCTACATTTTTTGTAAAATGAAAAAAAAAAAAAGAAAAAGAAAAAAAAAGACAATCGAATTAAGTTTGAGTGGTACCATAAAATCTTATAGGCCTACTATTTTATTTTTAATTTATTTAATTTATTTTTTTTAATTTTTAACCACATGTTCCCACATAGGTCTCCCTTGAATGTCAAGCTCTATTTGTAAGGATTTAAAATTGATTTCAATTAAAATTTGTTTAGTAACTCAATTCCATTAGAAACTATTTAACACTACTACTGTCTGACCTTGAATATATCCCAACATAGATTCCTCAAGTTGCCTAAAAATATTCTGTTTGTGGTACAGTAGGTCTTCACTGAATTATCTCTTAGCAGTTTTAATTATCCAGTAATTCTTTCTTTATTTAAGGTGCTGTCAAATAACGTACCGGTAGGCCTAATAAATGAAGAACTTAATATTTAAAACAGCCGTTTTAACTCATTCAATGTTTAATTGTTTAGTTTGGATTTCGATTTATTTCATAAAGTCACATTCATATTCACATGTAGGCCTAAGGAATTACATTGGAAGCAAAGCGTTTAATATGTAACTCTTTTAAATAATAACATAATTTAATTAATTCTTAAAAAAAAAAAAAAACAAACAAAAACAAAAAAAAAACTTAATCTAGGCCTAAACAAAATTTAGAGATAAAACTATCCCCCACTTTCTGAAGTGGGGGATTTCTGAATCGGGGTTTCTGGGTCTGATTAAATATTGCTGTACAAGTGAATTGTTTTATTAGAATTAACATAATCTAGTAATCTAAGGTGAAACTACCTCGCCGGACACTGCCCCGGGTATTTCTGAGTCTACTTTCGGGGCCCATTATTTTAGTGGCGAATGATGGCCTAGGCCTGAGCTTAAATAGGCCTGATACTTAAATACAGTAAAAAATGAAATAATTTCATATTTGTTCCATATTTTCAATAAGCTGAAATGTGCAAGTTTGAAGTTATGTTGCGTCCGAGAAAGTACAATTTGTCTTACAAACGACATTGAGTTGTACATTTGGTTCGGCAAAACCGAACCAACCGAGTCAGAAAGACTGGTATCCTTGGTTTAGTAAGTTCTGTTGAGGATCGCTTAAAGTATTTCTACCTCATTGTCACGAAGTACATTTATGGTAATGATAAGTTTCTAATTTTCAAACTTACTAAAATTAATCTTAGACGTTATAGGCGTGATCATCAGATAACTGCCAGGACTGATTTTTTAAATTTAATTACTTTCCTCGTCTTTAGGATGATTTGACGACTGATGTGCGAGAACAACATATTTTAAATTTTAAATATAATTTTACAAGTTTAAATATACAGTGTTACTCTATATATTTTGTGTTATATTGTTTCTTTGTCTTTTTGTTAGGTCCGGGCTGGCTAAAGACCATTTAAAAAAAAAAAATGCTTTGAGGACCAATAGAGGGCAGAATGCTTCGGCTGTTTTTGTTTGGTTTTTGCCCGTGTGTGAAGTCTCGCAAATCAGAAACATAAAAAAAGGGACAAAAGAAAGAAAAGAACTAGGACTAACAATTTGGACCTGTCTCTTATAC